ATGAACCAGCATGTCACCAGGCAGGCATTCCACACCCTTCACCTATTTGATCCCGTACGGGTTTACCGCATGCCTTGCAATATGATAATAATAATCATAATAATAATGATAATAGCAGGTTGAAGAGTTTTGGACCACGCGTGTTGACACAGAGATATGGATATGGTAGTGCCATGGATATGGTAGTTCCATGGATATGGTAGTACCAGTGCCATGGATATGGTAGCGCCAGGGATATGGCAGTGCCATGGATATGGTAGTGCCATAGACATGGCAGTGCCATAGGTATGAGTGCCATGAATATGATAGTGGCATTACTATAGCCATGGCACTGATATGGTAGTTCCATGGATATGTTAGTGTTATGGATATGGGAGTACTATGGATATGATAGTGTCATACATATGGCAGTGCCATGGATATGGTAGTGCCATGGATATAAAAGTGCCATACATATGGCAGTGCCATGGATATGGTAGTGCCATGACGTCCTCTAGAGTAAGCATCGTCAGGCAGTGCAATATCACGGTGCCACCTGACTAAACAATTTCTGTCCTGGTTGCGGCACTCTAAGAACATGGCACCATGTGTCCTCGTTGTGGCACACTAACAACATGGCACTATATGTCCTGGTTGTGGCACACAAACATGGCACTATATGTCCTGGTTGTGGCACACTAATATGGCACCATGTGTCCTGGTTGTGGCACACAAACACGGCACCATGTGTCCTGGTTATGGCACTCTAACATGGCACTATATGTCCTGGTTGTGGCACTCTAACAACATGGCACCATGTGTTGTCCACCATTGACTTTCCAAGATAACTGGTATCATACCTCAGACCACTGACCATCATTCACACCTCACACTCTGCCACACTTACAACACCACCTACAACAATAACACCAACAATAACAACACCACCAACAACAATAACAACAACAACAACAATAACACCAACAATAGCTACGACATCACAACAACAGCAAGTATTCAGTACAGCAAATCATGCAGTGTTGCAATCATTACCCAGGTGAGTCACACACACATGATAGAACTCACCTGTGTGTGTGTGTGTGTGTGTGTGTGTGTGTGTGTGTGATGATACAGCTCTACACATCTGTGTACCACGTGTCTCCCCCTCTCCCCCCACGTGTCCACCTCCCACGGGGTGACCCTCTGGTAATCCTATACCTCTGGTTGACACTGGCCCGTGGTAAGGACTCACAGACTCACAGAACCAGGAGCTGTGAATCGACCCCTGCAACCACAAACAGGTGAGTAAACACACACAGACACACACATACACACACACATACACCACCAAGTGCTGGACACAGTACACACAACCGACGAAGAAGTGAAGAGGCTTCTGAGTGAGCTAGATACCTCAAAGACGATGGGGCCGGACAACATCTCTCCATGGGTCCTGAGAGAGGGAGCAGAGGCGCTGTGTGTACCACTAACAATATTCAATACATCTACCTAAACAAGGAAATTACCTGAGGTATGGAAAACAGTAAATATCCCAATTTTTTAAAAAAGGAGACTGACACGAAGCATTAAACTACAGACCAGTGCCACTGACATGTATAGTTTGCAAGGTCATGGAGAAGATTATCAGAAGAGTGGTGAAGCATATAGAAAGGAATGAACTTATTACAGACAGCCAACATGGTTTCAGGGACGGGAAATCCTGTGTCACAAACCTACTGGAGTTCTATGACAGGGTGACAGCAGTAAGACAAGAGAGGGGTGGGTGGATTGCATTTTCTTGGACTGTAAGAAGGTGTTTGGCACAGTTCCACACAAGAGATTAGTGCAAAAGCTGGAGGACCAGGCAGGGATAACAGGAAGGCACTACAATGGATCAGGGAATACCTGTCAGGAAGACAACGAGTCATGGTACGTGGCAAAGTGTCAGAGTGGGAGCCTGTAACGAGCGGGGTCCCACAGGGGTCAGTCCTAGGACCGGTGCTGTTTCTGGTATTTGTGAACGACATGACGGAAGGAATAGACTCCGAAGTGTCCCTGTTTGCAGATGACGTGAAGTTGATGAGAAGAATTCATTCAATCGAAGACCAGGCAGAACTACAAAGGGATCTGGACAGGCTGCAGACCTGGTCCAGCAATTGGCTCCTGGAGTTCAACCCCACCAAGTGCAAATTCATGAAGGTTGGGGAAGGGTAAAGAAGACCGCAGACGGAGTACAGTCTAGGGGGCCAGAGACTACATACCTCACTCAAGGAAAAAGATCTTGGGGTGAGTATAACACCAGGCACATCTCCTGAAGCGCACATCAACCAAATAACTGCTGCAGCATATGGGCGCCTAGCAAACCTCAGAACAGCATTCCGACATCTTAATAAGGAATCGTTCAGGTCCCTGTACACCGTGTACGTTAGGCCCATATTGGAGTATGCAGCGCCAGTTTGGAACCCTCACCTAGCCAAGCACGTAAAGAAACTAGAGAAAGTGCAAAGGTTTGCAACAAGACTAGTCCCAGAGCTAAGAGGTATGTCCTACGAGGAGAGGTTAAGGGAAATCAACCTAACGACACTGGAGGACAGGAGAGATAGGGGGGATATGATAACGATATATAAAATACTGAGAGGAAATGACAAGGTGGACAAAGACAGGATGTTCCAGAGATTGGACACAGTAACAAGGGGACACAGTTGGAAGTTGAAGACATAGATGAATCACAGGGATGTTAGGAAGTATTTCTTCAGCCACAGAGTAGTCAGGAAGTAGAATAGTTTGGGAAGCGATGTAGTGGAGGCAGGATCCATACATAGCTTTAAGAAGAGGTATGATAAAGCTCATGGAGCGGGAAGAGTGACCTAATAGCGGTCAGTGAAGAGGTGGGGATAGCAGCTGTGACTCAACCCCTGCAACCACAACTAAGTGAGTACATACACATACACAGCACCAGGACTCCTTCAGAGTACAGGTACTGCACTTCCCACCACCAGGACTCCTTCAGAGTGGAGGCACTGTACTTCACCTCCAGGACTCAAGTCCACCTAACGAATTTCCCTAAATCATTTCATAAATATTACCTTGCTTACACTCCAACAGCACTTCAAGTCATAAAAACCACTGTCTCCACTAACTCCTAATAAACACAAGCCTGCTAGATGCTTAAGCCCCTAGCACACAAAACCTCCCTTTACCCCATCCCTCCAACCTTTCCTAGGCCGACCCATACTTTGCTTTCCTTCCACTAGATATTCATACATCCTCCAAGTCATCCTATTCTGTTCCATCCTCTCTAAATATCTAAACCACCTCAACAACCCCTCCTAAGCCCTCTGGATAATACTTTTAGTAACCCCTTCTAATATCCACCTCCTAATATCCAAACTACGGATTCCCTGTACTATATTTACACCACACATTGCCCTCAGAGACAGACATCTTTTCTGCCTCCAGCCTCCTCCTCGATGCAACGTCAACAACCCATCCTTCACACCCATATAAGATCGTTAGTACCTCTATACTTTCCCCTTGTTGCCTCAAAGGCTATTATTATTATTATTATTATTATTATTATTATTATTATTATTATTATTATTATCTTACCTTAGCCCAGCCTCTGAAAATCGTCTTACCTGCAAAACGAGAGAAAAAACACTTTAGATATAAATCCAAACACCAACGTCACAGTGTTTTGTGTGTGTGTGTGTGTGTGTGTGTGTGTGTGTGTGTGTGTGTGTGTGTGTGCATGATATCAGTCTCTCTCTTTGTTTACATTTTCCCTTGATTGACTTCTAAGAAAGTCGTAATTTAAAGTTCACTGTGCGCCTGTGCGAGCTAGCTCTCTCTCTCTCTCTCTCCCTCTCCCTCTCCCTCTCTCTCTCTCTCTCCCTCTCTCTCTCTCTCTCTCTCCCTCTCTCTCCCTCTCTATCTCTCTCTCACACTGTCTCTCAAAATAGCTGACAGCTACATAACATACGAGAAAGCGTAGGAGGGCGTGGGAGAAAAATGCGTGGCGTGGGAGGCGCGTGGGTGTGTAGTTCACTCGCAAGGTGTAATCTGCGCACGTGGGCGTTCCATGGGTCACCCAGCGTGTGGGGGAGCCCATCATCCTCCCACGGTAGAGGAGACAGTGGTAAGACAGCTGTACGCACCTGACAGTCTAAATCAGACTGTCAGCCTGAATATATATACATTATCGTCATACAATTTACAATACATATAATCAAGGAGATAAAATCAGGGCGTATAAAATCCCCATAGGCATCGACCAGATATGTAAAATGCTTGACACAGAGATCCAGCAACGAGATGAACCATAGGGATGAAGGATAGAGATGAACCGTAGCGGTACTCCCAGGAGCTGTGACTCGACCCCTCGCAAACACATTAAGGCGAGTACAACGTGGCAAGTACAAAGGTTCAAGAAGGTCACAGGATCAATACCTGTCTTGAATACAAGTATTATAACTAACTACATTCTCTGGAGTGACCATAACACGGGTGTATGTATGTATAACTCTGGTTGATTATACCAGATTATACATTGTTCCTACTTGTATCTGTATAATTTACCAGGGTACGTGATACCCACCTTCAGGGATGCAATTCTGATACCCAAGATGATAGGTATTATGCTATCTTGTAAATCAACACTGTTATCTTGGTACGTTACATACCGTAACTGGTACAATATACACTGTTATCCTGGTACAATATACACTGTTACTGGTACAAAATAGACGGTTATCCTGTACAATATACACTGTTATCCTGGTACAATATACACTGTTATCCTGGTACAATATACACTGTTATCCTGTACAATATACACTGTTATCCTGGTACAATATACACTGTTATCCTGGTACAATATACACTGTTATCCTGGTACAATATACACTGTTATCCTGGTACAATATAGACTGTAATCCTGTACATATATACACTGTTATCCTGTACATATATACACTGTTATCCTGGTACAATATAGACTTATCCTGGTACAATATGCTGTTATGGCAGTGTGCACAGACTTGGGACCAGGTCCTCGAGTACCTTCCAGGTATATATTATCAGGTATCTCTCTCTCCTCCTCTCCAGTGAGTACATGTTCAAGACTTGAAGGCGTTCCCAGTATTTATTGGCTCTGTGTGGCAATAAATGATCTCTGTATGTGCTCCAGCTGTGATATTTCTCCTGCCCTGGACAATACTGTTCCAGCTGTGATATTTCTACTGCCCTGGACGATACTGTTCCAGCTGTGATATTTCTCCTGCCCTGGACAATACTGTTCCAGCTGTGATATTTCTCCTGCCCTGGACAATACTGTTCCAGCTGTGATATTTCTCCTGCCCTGGACAATACTGTTCCAGCTGTGATATTTCTCCTGCCCTGGACAATACTGTTCCAGCTGTGATATTTCTCCTGCCGTGGACGATACTGTTCCAGCTGTGATATTTCTCCTGCCCTGGAAGATACTGTTCCAGCTGTGATATTTCTCCTGCCCTGGAAGATACTGTTCCAGCTGTGATATTTCTCGTGCCCTGGAAGATACTGTTCCAGCTGTGCTATTTCTCCTGCCCTGGAAGATACTGTTCCAGCTGTGATATTTCTCGTGCCCTGGAAGATACTGTTCCAGCTGTGCTATTTCTCGTGCCCTGGAAGATACTGTTCCAGCTGTGCTATTTCTCCTGCCCTGGAAGATACTGTTCCAGCTGTGATATTTCTCCTGCCCTGGAAGATACTGTTCCAGCTGTGATATTTCTCCTGCCCTGGAAGATACTGTTCCAGCTGTGATATTTCTCCTGCCCTGGAAGATACTGTTCCAGCTGTGATATTTCTCCTGCCCTGGAAGATACTGTTCCAGCTGTGATATTTCTCTTGCCCTGGACGATACTGTTCCAGCTGTGATATTTCTCCTGCCCTGGAAGATACTGTTCCAGCTGTGATATTTCTCCTGCCCTGGACGATACTGTTCCAGCTGTGATATTTCTCCTGCCCTGGAAGATACTGTTCCAACTGTGATATTTCTCCTGCCCTGGACGATACTGTTCCAGCTGTGATATTTCTCCTGCCCTGGACGATACTGTTCCAGCTGTGATATTTCTCCTGCCCTGGAAGATACTGTTCCAGCTGTGATATTTCTCCTGCCCTGGAAGATACTGTTCCAGCTGTGATATTTCTCCTGCCCTGGAAGATACTGTTCCAACTGTGATATTTTCTCCTGCCCTGGACGATACTGTTCCAGCTGTGATATTTCTCCTGCCCTGGAAGATACTGTTCCAACTGTGATATTTCTCCTGCCCTGGACGATACTGTTCCAGCTGTGATATTTCTCCTGCCCTGGAAGATACTGTTCCAATTGTGATATTTCTCCTGCCCTGGAAGATACTGTTCCAACTGATATTTCTCCTGCCCTGGACGATACTGTTCCAGCTGTGATATTTCTCCTGCCCTGAACGATACTGTTCCAGCTGTGATATTTCTCCTGCCCTGAACGATACTGTTCCAGCTGTGATATTTCTCCTGCCCTGAACGATACTGTTCCAGCTGTGATATTTCTCCTGCCCTGGACGATACTGTTCCAGCTGTGATATTTCTCCTGCCCTGGAAGATACTGTTCCAGCTGTGATATTTCTCCTGCCCTGGACGATACTGTTCCAGCTGTGATATTTCTCCTGCCCTGGACGATACTGTTCCAGCTGTGATATTTCTCCTGCCCTGGAAGATACTGTTCCAGCTGTGATATTTCTCCTGCCCTGGACGGAGCCGTCAACACTGTACAATACATTAGTAAATTTGATAAATTTGCTTGTAATAGATAGGTGACCTGCAGATATAAATCCAGAAAAACTCTTGTTTACCCCTTTTGGGGTCTAGTTCCTAAGCCTACTGTGTATCCAAAAAAAATAGCCACTACCATCCACACCATGCAAACAAGGTACACAGTAAACTAGCCACTACCATACACACCATGGATACAAGGTACACAATAAACTAGCCACTACCATACACACCATGGATACAAGGTACACAAACTAGCCACTACCATACACACCATGGATACAAGGTACACAGTAAACTAGCCACTACCATACACACCATGGATACAAGGTACACAGTAAACTAGCCACTACCATACACACCATGGATACAAGGTACACAAACTAGCCACTACCATACACACCATGGATACAAGGTACACAGTAAACCAGCCACTACCATACACACCATGGATACAAGGTACACAGTAAACCAGCCACTGCCATACACACCATGGATACAAGGTACACAGTAAACTAGCTACTACCATACACACCATGGATACAAGGTACACAGTAAACTAGCCACTACCATACACACCATGGATACAAATTACACAGTAAACTAGCCACTACCATACACACAATGGATACAAGGTACACAGTAAACTAGCCACTACCATACACACCATGGATACAAGGTACACAGTAACCCATCCACTACCATACACACCATGGATACAAGGTACACAGTAAACTAGCCACATCGGTGGCAAAATCTAATCCTAACGAGGGAGCACAAGTGATTCAAAGAGTGCCACCACTGGCACATTTCCCTTGAAAATTCTCATTATCCACTCCGTCATCTTCCTGGCTGTATTAACATCCGCTCCCAGCTTTACCAGCGATAAGTGTAAGTGCGTTTGAAGACGTTGTGGATGCGTTTAACGTTGACGCAAGACAAATAACGTAACTAACACCTCAACACTGCCACCTCTCTCATGTTCACAACAGGGATGAACAACAGTAGTGAACAGGGGTGAACAATGATGAACAGGAGTGCACAACAGGGGTGAATAACAATGACGAATAGTGAACATCTGTGAACAACAGTGATGAACAAGAGAGGTGAACAACAGCAATGAACAACAGAGATGAACAGCCATGAACAACAGAGGTGAACAGTGAACAACAGAAGTGAACAGAGGTGAACAACAGAGGTGAACAGTGATGAACAACAGAGGTGAACAGTGAACAACAGTGATGAACAGAGGTGAACAGTGATGAACAACAGAGGTGAACAACAGTGATGAACAACAGAGGTGAACAGTGATGAACAGAGGTGAACCGTGATGAACAACAGAGGTGAACAACAGTGATGAACAACAGAGGTGAACAGTGATGAACAGTGGTGAACAACAGTGATGAACAGAGGGGAAAAACAGAGATAAACAACAGAGGTGAACAGTGATGAACAGAGGTGAACAACAGTGATGAACAGTGATGAACAGAGGTGAACAGTGAACAACAGAGGTGAACAACAATGAACAGAGGTGAACAACAGTGATGAACAGAGGTGAACAGAGATAAAAAACAGAGGTGAACAACAGTGATGAACAGAGGTGAACAGAGATAAAAAACAGAGGTGAACAACAGTGATGAACAACAGTGATGCACAACAGAGGTGAACAACAGTGATGAACAACAGAGGTGAACAACAGTGATGAACAACAGTGAACAGTGAACAACAGTGATGAACAGTGACGAACAGAGGTGAACAACAGTGATGAACAACAGAGGTGAACAACAGTGATGAACAACAGAGGTGAACAACAGTGATGCACAACAGAGGTGAACAACAGTGATGAACAACAGAGGTGAACAACAGTGATGCACAACAGAGGTGAACCACAGTGATGCACAACAGAGGTGAACAACAGTGATGAACAACAGAGGTGAAGTACAGCACTTAAGGGTCTATTTTGGGTGAAAATCCTCTCTTACTGACAGTTCCTGGCGTGAGACTCTTACTCTCTCTCTCTCTCTCTCTCTCTCTCTCACTATACCTCTCCATCTCTCTCACTGTATCTCTCACTATACTTCTCCATCTCTCTCACTGTATCTCTCACTATACTTCTCCATCTCTCTCACTATACCTCTCCATCTCTCTCACTGTATCTCTCACTATACTTCTCCATCTCTCTCTCTCTCTCTCACTATACCTCTCCATCTCTCTCACTGTATCTCTCACTATACCTCTCCATCTCTCTCACTGTATCTCTCACTATACTTCTCCATCTCTCTCACTATCTCTCACTATACCTCTCCATCTCTCTCACTGTATCTCTCACTATACTTCTCCATCTCTCTCACTGTATCTCTCACTATACTTCTCCATCTCTCTCACTATCTCTCACTATACCTCTCCATCTCTCTCACTGTATCTCTCACTATACCTCTCCATCTCTCACTGTATCTCTCACTATACTTCTCCATCCCCTCTCTCTCTCACTATACCTCTCCATCTCTCTCACTGTATCTCTCACTATACTTCTCCATCTCTCTCACTATCTCTCACTATACCTCTCCATCTCTCTCACTGTATCTCTCACTATACTTCTCCATCTCTCTCACTGTATCTCTCACTATACTTCTCCATCTCTCTCACTATCTCTCACTATACCTCTCCATCTCTCTCACTGTATCTCTCACTATACCTCTCCATCTCTCTCACTGTATCTCTCACTATACCTCTCCATCTCTCTCACTGTATCTCTCACTATACCTCTCCATCTCTCACTGTATCTCTCACTATACCTCTCCATCTCTCTCACTGTATCTCTCACTATACCTCTCCATCTCTCTCACTGTATCTCTCACTATACTTCTCCATCTCTCTCACTATCTCTCACTATACCTCTCCATCTCTCACTGTATCTCTCACTATACTTCTCCATCTCTCTCACTGTATCTCTCACTATACTTCTCCATCTCTCTCACTATCTCTCACTATACCTCTCCATCTCTCACTGTATCTCTCACTATACTTCTCCCATCTCTCTCACTGTATCTCTCACTATTACTTCTCCATCTCTCTCACTATCTCTCACTATACCTCTCCATCTCTCACTGTATCTCTCACTATACTTCTCCATCTCTCTCACTGTATCTCTCACTATACCTCTCCATCTCTCTCACTGTATCTCTCACTATACCTCTCCATCTCTCTCACTGTATCTCTCACTATACTTCTCCATCTCTCTCACTGTATCTCTCACTATACCTCTCCATCTCTCTCACT